GTAGTAGGTTGAATGTATATACTATATAGTATACTTACCCAATGGGTCGGAGGTGTTTTCCCGTAGCGTGCCCATCTTTTGGGAAAAATAACAATTTCTGCTTCCAGACAGAAAAGAGACAAGACCTGCATGCCAGCCATCGGATCATTAGGTCTAACTCGACAATCTAGATTACGAAAATGACGAGAGGTATGTACGATGCGGCAGCACCTCGAAAATCGAAAATCCAAATTCTTTTAGGGATAATGACATATAAATGCGAATAACAAATTGGCTCGAAGCCCATTTGACTTTGCATATTCGCGAGCTGATGCCTGCCATCTTTGCGGCCTGCTGGGGGCAAAGCATTTTACGAACGCTGAATGTAAAAAAATTTTGCTGGAGCCCGGCGCAAGGAACATTTTTGGTTACCGCATACCTACTACCATCCACTTGCCCCACATCCCCGTTTCAGATACCCCACTTTAGTCGACAGCGGGCGACGAACATTGGCGGGAAATCCTCTTCAACGTATCAGCCAAAAAATGCTTGGCGGCGGAGGTTGCCGGTGAAAAACTCCGGAATGCGTAATCAGGGAGCCCATAAATACTTATTGCTGCCTAAGAGTTTCGCTCAACAGATTTTATACTTCAATCGTTTACAAAGTTTGCATTCGAAATGCCTAACATTTTGAGACTTGAAGACTGAATGAAGCACAGTTGCGCCTTGCACGATTACTCAAGGCTGATGATTGGCACTTTCCCGATGCAATTATTAAGAACTATTTCGTTTCTGTCAACACAAAAAACTTTGCTTCTGTTTACAAACATGAGGGTCAACAGAGACAGAGACATGGATGCGTTCTCAAACTTGATTTACAGCATATATTTGAGAAGAGCCTGCTCGCTTTTCCAGAGTGATCAGTCTGGCAACCTTTGAGTGATGGGATACAAACGAATCGGTAAAATGTCGAAAATATACAAATTTTTTGCAAGATATTTGAAAAATAAAACCCCTCCTCGAAGATAGAAAACTTTCGATTAAGACATTCATACCATACCTAATCGGACACCAAACAGTTTTGGTACCTTAGAGGCTTTGCATTTCTTCGATTCCGGACATTCAAATTATCAAGAGTCCAGGGATTGTCCGACACACCTTCCATGTCAGTAAAAGCGTCGGTGGATCCCGTTCATGCCACGAAGCCACTGGTCTTCTTGCGCCTAAATTAGAGCAATTCTTTGGTTCCCAGCCACCTCTTGGGCCCTGCCCTTGTCAAAGTTAGTTGAGTACCTTTTGGCCTTTCCTGGCCCTGGTCTGCTCGAGTTTCTGGGAGCCGGTACTCCCGCCCCCTCCTGGCTCTACACGTCGGCAGTCAAGTTTTTTTTTTTATTATTTGTAGCATTTATTTGCGGGTCGGACACAGCCGCAGTCCTCTTTCAGTTGTGTAGACACATGCTAAATATTTACCTACGTCTAACCAAAGTGTTAATTATGCAAGCGTGTGTATGAGCGCGGGGCTTGGAAGCTTTTGTGGATGTGGATGTGGAGGGGGGTGTGAAATATGGATGTGGGCGCTTGGTGCTTTCTGCTTGCTTCGCTGAGCTCATCAATTTTTTAAAGGTCGTAAATAGCAACATGAGATCCGGCAGATTTAAGCTTTTTCCTCGCTCATCACTTTGTTTATGGGCCATCGGAAATTTAACTTTTACTTTAAATCACCAAAGACTTTATACGATTCGAGTAACGCGATCTGGGTATCAGGGGACAGGTGGCTTGAAGTCCAGTGGGAGTCGAGAGTAAGGCAGGTCGTCTGGAAACAATCAAGAATCATTAATTACGTGGCTCGTAGGACAACAATGTAATCCCGTATTGAAGCCATTATTCATCTCGCTTCACCGAGGCACCTCAGTAACCGGCCTGGTTTGGGTGGGTTACGCCAGATGCTATTTTCGAATAAATTTGCACAACTCCCATCTGAAAAGTTATAATCTAATTTCCAACTTGTTTGCATCTCCTGCAGTTTAATATTCATTCATTCCATCAATATCCTAAGACCTTTTGCCGTCAAATAGAAGGAGGTAAGATCTATACAATATTTCTATGACGTACAGCTTATAATTATCATTGCTTATAGCAACATTTTTTTTATTCAAGCTACAATTGCTGTATAAAAGCCTGAAGTAAACTCAATTAGCGCTTGGTTTCGTTCCTTTGTAAAATGGGGTGACTTCTGGGCAGATAAGCCAGCTTATCTTATACAAAAAAACTCGGAGACCAGGAAACTTTGGAAACCAGGAGTCTAGATTCTATAGTCTAAACCCTAGACGATGAATTCATGGTTATCGGGATTCTGTTTCCGATTACACAACATAAACTTCTGAACACTTTTAGGTGCTAAGCTTGTAGCACATGAACTATTAAAAATATTCGGTAGAAAGCTCTTATTAAATTATACAATATTATTTCATAGTCATATAAATATCAATCAAATTTTAATGACCTCTCTCCTAAAGCCGAAGTTAAAACACAGATATTCAATATAAATTGCTTACATCCTCCATAGAAACTTTTTTGATGTAAAGCTTTTCTTTTAATGAGTTATTCCAATGCTATCGTTCTAGTCTTTGCCATATATTTTATCAAAGATTATACAGTACATAGATGGGACATCTCATACAAAGAAAAATTTTCTATGGCGGGTTCCAGCAGTGGAACCCGCTGGAACGAGCGGGTTCCATTGCGCGACAAGTTAAGTTTGAGAAATTTTTCGCGCGACAAAGAATGAGGAATAGCCGAGTGGTAGAGTGTTTGGCTGGTGTGCAAAGTAAAATGAGTTCAAACCAGGCTCGGGGGAAGTCCATTTTTTTTTTAATTTTAAATCTATTTATATTATATTTTTATTATTTTAATGTATTTTTCTAAATTTATAATCCAATAAAAAAAATACAAAATTGTAAAATCACCTTAACATCGTCTCAGTTCGTAGTGGAACCCGCTGTAAAAATGTCTATAAGTGCGGGTTCTACGGCATTTTGGCAGGCCGCGTCGTGGAACCCGCTCTCAAATGTTTTCATTTTTTCCGTCGTGGAACCCGCTGTAATAATGAAAACATTTGAGAGCGGGTTCCACGACAAACGGCTGGCAGATGAGATAGGGAGAGAGAGAATTCTATTTTTAGATCGTAACATCTTTGGAACGATGAAAGTTTGAAACGTTGTAACCGAACCAATGTAAGAGTAAAGAGATCAGAAATATCTTTTACTATCCTTACTCGTCAACTCTGTTTTTGCTATAGATTCTAGCGCCTCCTTTAACACCAATTTTAAGTATCATAAAATCAACTTCGAGGGTAGCCTAGATGGATAATGCGTGGTCCTTATTCATGGGGTCCTGGGTTCGATTTCATTAGCGGGCGGTTGTTTCAATTTTGATCAAGTTTTAGTTTTATGATTATTTTTAGATTTACTTTTATTTTTTTTATTATTCTTTTTTATTAATTGCATTCTACTACAGTTGTAAAAATAAGTGACGGACGTATCGGATGACGAAATACCGGAAGGACTCAATTGAAATTTTATTAGCATTTTATTAGCGGGACATAATGAAGAATTAAACAATTTTACAATTGTAAAATTAAAGAAAAATATTACAATTAAAAAAAAAAATAATAATAATAATTATAAAAGAAAGTCCTAAGTTCAAAGTCCTAACGAGGATTTGAACACAGAAAAATTGCACATAGAGTAACTACTCTATACATTACGCTACCATCCTGTCTTGATCTGCATTGATCAAAAATACAATTTGTTCCACCAACTACCACATCGGCGCATCGAAAACAGAAACGCGAAATTGAAATTAAAATTTGGAAGCCAAAACATTTTTACTCCGTCGTGCGAGCAGTCACACATACATACATAGGTTCACATTTTTGTTGACGGGTACATGTAAAGAGTTCTAAAAATAGAATCGTATGCATGTGCGTTCCCCCCTCACCTACAAGCTCGACGCAAAAAGTTGACCGTTTTGGGCCCTGATGTCCCATCTATGTACTTTATAATCTTTGATTTTATTTATACAGTTTAATATATATACCTACACATATATTAATCAATATTGGACTTTGGTTCGAGGGCTCAAGAGTTGTAGAGAAGGTAAAATTACGGGTGTAGATTTGTAGATTTGTCGGTTTACTTTTAAAAGTCTGTTACTTTACTTTACACTTAAAGCTGCATGTTTGTATTATCCTGTCCTAAGTGGATTAAAAATAGATACAAAATAAGTCTTGAAGTGCAGGGCTTCTAGACAAAGTTGGATGTCCTGTGTCATATTTTAATGCTCGCTAGGCGCTGAAAATATACTTGCATTTGTTTTCGCACGATTTGAATTGTACACAAGATGGTCGTAAAGAAAACTGGTTAGGTGTGCGAAAGAACGTGTTCCACTGCAAACCTTGGGAACTTGTTTATACTCTTGCGAAGGATATTATACCTTTGTGAAGGTAATTAGACAATGCAATCTAGACACTACTTACGAAGAGAGGTAGATCTGCGGCGGTTGGGAGATATCCCAGAGTCAAAGTGCTCTACAAAGTGAATTTTTCAAAACAGCCCATCTTGAGATTTTCTTAAAAATCGCACCTTACATCTTGTTGCTTCCTTTCAAGGTTCGAGGTTCAAGGTTGAAGGTTTTGGCAGTAAAAGTTCGGGACTCTTTATGTCTGTTACTCGTGCTATACAACAACAGGAAGATGGGATGTTCCCGTCTCCCTTAGTAAGCATACATTTTCTTGATCAGCTTCTAAAAGCTACGAGTCCCCGAAGATGGGTTTCCTTGATTGTTCGCATGTTAACCTCATTAATAAAAGGAGCTTACTATGGCATTCCTGGACAGTGGAAAAGAACAAAATTAGTTTTATGACAAACTATTTATGTCGGTTACACTTATTAAGAATATTACTAACTAAGAATGCATTTATTTGGCCATTTTTTAATGACAGTTTCCATTTTTTTTTGCAGGTAACGAATTCCTTTTTAAAATTGTAATTAGGCGGGGACTTAGCGAAGTCAGCCAGTACATTCAGATGAAAAGGCAAGCAATTGGGTAAGTAAAACGCGCTATATAAGGAACCAATGTCTGAATATTTTCCGCATTGTTTTCAACTTATTATGGCTTGATTAAAAAAAAAGAATCGTTATTAGTATTCTGATTTCGTCCCAAAAACAATGGCACACAAGGACCATGTTTTCTTCAACCCCTTTCATGCTCATGATCTGACATTTGAAGGGCACTAAGATGAGAACGCATAAATGTTGTACTTAAATGTCGTATCTTAGAGTTACTTCGCTGAATATAAAAAATGGATATCAACGCAAATAATAGGAACATAGTAAGTCCCGGAACACCCTAGCCTTGCGCTAACTCCTGTCATTGGCCATAACGTGTATTTCTTCCGTCGAAATTAATGCGTTGCAGTCGAGCACTGTCAACAAATTATTATGTTGTAATCTAATAAGGCTTCCTTAACGCTTCTATTCAGATTAAATATGAAATTTATACCAAGCATAAGCGTTTTATTTTGCACTATTAATTTAATACTTAAAAGAGCTCGCGAGATATATCACAAAACACAGATGACACCTAATTATCCCTAAAAATAACTAATAACTAAAAATAACTAGATCTCCTTTCAAAACTATGTTATCAGCTCCTCTTGGCTCGTAATTTTCTGTATGAGCTATATGCTATATATGAAGATGCATATGGTATCCAAAACAGAAATTTTGGTTAGGTTTCCATTTTTTGGCTCCCGAAATCGTAGTTGAAGTTAAATTGAGTCGTTTTTCCTACAACCATTGCCGAGCGAAAAGTTTCCCCTTCGAGTAGTCCTAGGGGATTTCAAACCCACAAAACTATATTATTTGGAACGAATTTGAACAAAAAATATAATATATATTAAAATATTTAAACGAATAATACTGTTATAAGTAGTTTTGTGTACTGTTTCTCTGTGCAGTTGTAAGTCATTAAAAGTATATATAGTGTGCACTAGAAGTACATATATCACTCTTAGATCATGACCTTTTCGGCGAGTTTCCCGTTTGGCTTTGGCTTTGGCGACACAGCAGCAAAACAATTACCAACAAACAACTTAATTTGTTTACTGCTAAATGAGAGATGTACGCAAACGATTAGGTGGGTGTGTCAAGGGCCGATCAGGGATGGCCGCCAGAGGCCTCAACACAAAGACACTTAGTGCCCTCTTCTATCCTCAGCTCTGCTCCGCTTCATTTTATTTATTTCGTTTGTCTATGTTGCTGTCGGCTTTCGGAAAGAACTCTGTTCTGTTTCGAACAAGGTTCTTTTTAGACGCTCGCAGGGTATTCAAAGTTAGTCCAGATGTTTGAAACGCATTTGAGGAATTTAATACGGACTGAGAGTAGTTTCCCACACATGCATAAAATCAACTTTTCACAGGGCTCATCAGATTTTTCATCAGCGGAACTCAAACCGGTCTCTGAATCGGTTGCTTAACAAAGTGGAGTAGGGATCCTAATTGACATGTTGTATATGCCTGCAAGGTTGAACATGTTGCAAGGGTATTTCAACTTCGGATGCGTCCGATGTTTGCTTTCATTTCTCGTGTTCTTTGTTCTTTTTTTTTGTTTTGTTTATGGTGTATGCCACTCGGCTTTCGTACCACCTCCTCCTTCCGTTCGGGGATTTTATTTATTTTTATATCATTTTTAAACAACTTTGACAGATTTATATGTTGATGCGGCGTAAATTATTGCATCTGTGCTTGTCTCCCCGCCTCCAGTACGCCCCATCCAGTCCAGCCCTTCACACTCCCAGTTCTTAAGCAGCTTAGGTGCAAGTTGAAATTAGGAGAAACTTTTTCCACAAGCAGCTGGTGATGCAGATGACGAAGAGTTGCGGCATTGTCTTGACAAACGGTAAATCGCGCATAATAGATGACAGTAATTTAAGCTCTACTGAGCGAGGGGCGACCGGTCCACCAGGTACCTTTAGCTGGGGTTCAGCTGAATTCAGCTGTCTCCAATCTGGAGGTATCGTAGTCGTCAATAAAGAGGGCGATGAGTTTTCGTCGCCAAACATATTGGTAAGTTGGTAAAGAAAAGTTGGTAAAGAAAATCATCACATCGCCACAAAGCTCAGATGACTTGGCCGTAGAACTTAAACCTGGGGCAGTAAAACGGGCGATGCAGGCCCATTTTAGTGCAAGCTTGCTCAAATTCTTATCTCATTCTCCTTCGCAAAACGTAATGTTTTAAAAAGAAGCAATGGCAACAATTTAAAATTGAAAAAACATCAAGAGTTGAGAGTTTTTTTTTTATATATGTATGTTACCGTCGCAGAGATATCCGTGCCTTCGGCCGCAGTACTCAGGTGAAAGCCCAAATGGTGCTGGCAATGGGGAACGGATAGGGGGTCGTGTCGATGGCACATCAGGTGGGTGCCTGCCCCCTGTACCTGCATTGTGGTGCGAATCAATACCCCGACAGTAACGACAACAGTCGGCTAGTAGTGCCAGGACGGTGAGAAAGTTGCGAAAAGTCGTGCAGGGGCGGCAACAAAAGTGAATGCCAGAAAATGGCTGAAAACTGGCAACTGAAAAATGAAAACTGGCAACTAAAAATCAAAAACAACCAGGGAGAGACACTGGGCTCCAGAAGATGCTTCGAACACATTCAAAGTTATTTTGTGGGACTCTTGAAACTTTTGTGGACTATGGCATACAGACTATTAGCCCTAATGGATGATATAAAAGTATTTTAAGCTTTTTGTTTTATTTTTATTCATTATTGATTGGGACTGATTTAAGTATCTATTTCCTTTTTTCTGACTCCGAATCTGAGTTGAATCTGGCTCTTTGAGCGAGTACAGCGGTGCCATTGAGGTGCCAATATCAAATGTCTTAAAAATTCGGAGGATTCAGGTACTTTCCCAATTATGCTGCAGGATATACGTAAGCTAGACCTTGTGGCTTATTAGGTGGCAGGACTCAACATTTTTAACACTTTGTGTCTGGAAGCACAGTGTCCCCGCATAAACGTAGACATCTCCGAGTACCTAACTAAGGGGGCGGTGTGGAAGCTTCGGCAAAATATTGGAATGGGCGTCATTATATCAGCCGCAAAAAAATAAAATGCTAGAATACATAGAAAAAATATCAAATCAAATGTTAGGGAAACATCCACCATTTAGAGAGTAGAAAGAAGATGTGCCCGGCTCTTCTCATCGAATCTTGCCATGAGATACTTGGTGTGGTTGCAGGAGCGATTCCCCCAAAGGAAATGAAATATGCGCATAAATTTCATATCGTTTTTATGATTTCTGCCTTGTCCTTGCCAAGGTTCCACCTCGTCGCTGTCGATTTAGTTTATTATTCTATATTCTTTCCTTAACCTTTCACCGCATTTTATCAGATTTCATTTCGGTCACAGTTCTATTATCATTGCTTATGTTGATTTTCCAATGCGTTTTAGCATTGCATCCTCCGTTATGAAGTTTCTATCTGTGTATACAGATACAGATATTCTAGGAAGGGTTGGAGAATATTTTGCGAAGTAGGGTCCGTGGGTAATGAATTCTTAGCACCTGCTCGGAAGGGATCAGATTTTAAATAGTAGTATTTCCCTTGTTTAAAACTATTTGAAAAAGCAGTAAAATAGTTTCTAGTTGTGATGTGTTAAGCTTGGATAAATCTTTATGCAACTAATTTTATGAAATTTTTTTTTGAATTTGTTATTATGTAAAGATGCAAAAAAGGAAAGCTAACTTTGGGAGGAGCCGATCAGTTATGATCGGATATATATCGCAAATATCGGATACATATAAAAAAGTTCCAATCTTCTATTTTTCAAAATATTAAAGTTTCCGAATGTCAATACTACCGATTCAGTGGAGAACGAACTAAAAAGTCTATAACTCCTGTTCCTATTTGGTTGAATTATTATTTGCAGGTGTAGATTAGCCATTGGAAAAGTTTGGCATCAAAACATTTCCCAAAAACATTAACGAACTGGCGCTACAACTAGTTTTCCGTTTTGGGATCGGGAGTTGGCGTAGAAAACTTTTGACTCAAACTTGACCTGCTCGGATACTATACGAGTCTAAGTTCCAAATCAGATAGTTCTATATCATATAGTCTTCGAGATCCAAGCTTTAAAATGTTAGCTTATTTGTATGGAAAACGATATATAAATATATGGATATATCTCCTCTAAAAATCGGCCGATTTGGATGAAATTTGTTTTTAAAGTATAAATTAAATATAGAAATAGTTTGACAAAAATTTTTTAAAAAGTCTTCCTGTACTGGCGCTACAAAAATAGTCCAATTAGGGAGCGTAAGGGAGCGTGACACAAATTTGAGACAAACTAGTTCCATGCCAAATCCTATAGGTCTATCTCCTATAGTTTCTGAGACCCACGCGTTCATACGGACCGAGGGACATAGCTATATCGGCTCGGTTGTTAATGCTGATGAAGAATATATATACTTTATGGGTTCGGAGAGATTCCATCTTTATGTTACATACAACTCCACGAGTACTGGATATAAAAAGTTCAATTTTTTAAAAAACTTTTCACTGTAGCTCGTTTAAAAAAATATAAATAAATTCTACTTCTAATGAACTTTTTATACCCTTGCAGAGGGTATTATAATTTTGGTCAAAAGTGTGCAACGCAGTGAAGGAGACATCTCCGACCCTATAAAGTATATATATTCTTGATCAGGATCACCTCCTGAGTTGATATGAGCATGTCCGTCTGTCCGTCTGTCCGTCTGTCCGTCTGTCTGTCCGTCTGTCTGTTTCTACGCAAACTAGTCTCTCAGTTTTAAAGCTATCGTCTTGAAACTTTGCACACATCCTTCTTTCCTTTGCACGCAGTATATAAGTCGGAACGGCCCGGATCGGTCGACTATATCCTATAGCTGCCATATAACTGATTGATCGGAAATAGTATAACTTTGGTGTTTTTAAAGTTAGAGAGTTCAAATTTTAGGTGAGAGCTTTTTTGGCAACATAATACGACATGCCAAATTTCATAAGGATCGGCCGACTATATCCTATA